GGGGGGGGTCAACAGCAGCATTACAACCTCCATGAGTCTCTGAGGACACTGTTTTTCTAACATAGACCCTACAACACAGTATTATGATATATAAATAAATACTCATGATTCATATTCATACCTAGGATAAGATGTGGTTTATTGCCATCACTTATTGAAACCGGAAGATGAAGATAAGAGAATCTGGGAATATTATAAACAGAGGTTCCAGATTTAGATTTAATATCTTTTGGACAATCTATATATATATTTTTTTAATAAATACAAAGAAAAGTAGGGGGAAAACCCTAATGATAGAAATGTGGATCACATTTTCATTTAAACTGGTGCATGGAAGTAGACTAGGTTTCATTTGGGTAATGGTTACTCGTTTGTCTCTGAGGACACTGGAGGACTCGTATAGAGGCCAGAACGTCCTCAGAAGACAAATTCACCCAAATCACAAGAGATCCAAAATATAAACTAACTTTACAAACTCAGATACATCCAGTATATGAGAGATGTTTTAACCAACATATATATATATTTTTTTTTAAACAGATACTCTAACATATTTAAGATTACATTAAAGTTTTTGAGGCTTTATTGCCATGTGCACAAAAGCTACAGCTAAGTTTAGGCAACGAAAATCTAAAGTCCCAAGCTCCTCTAATAATACCTCGTAAAATAGAGCGAGAGAATTACTATCAAAGTACTTATATACAAACTAAGCACTTATATACTAACAAAGGACTTCTATACTAACAAAGGACCGGCTTATCTAAAGCCAGTTGAGTAGCACTTGAAATGTTTTAGCTCTATGAAACCTGATGTACTTATATGATTATGCTTTCTTCAAGTTTGTATCTTCTTGGTCGAATGCACTTATTCTAAGTCACTTTGGATAAAAGCGTCAGCTAAATGCAATGTAATGTCAAATAAATACAATTAGTAATAGAAGTATACAATATAATATTGCAAGACAATGGTGCCAGTAAAATTCAAAAATAGGACAAATAGATTCATAGATTGAATTAGATATTATTCATTTTAATGTATTTTAAATGTGTACAATTCGAATGAATATAAATGTAATTGTTAATGGAGGATTTTGTTTGCAGCACACAGTGAAATTGTTACTCTGCATTTAACCCATCTCAGTATTAGGAGCAGTGGGCAGCTATTCTATTATGCACTTAATGAGCAGTGTGCGGGTCTGATGCTTTGCTCACGGGCAACGCGGCACTGAATAAATGTATGTAACATCAGTTGTAACATCAAATCAAATATTCAAAAAATGGCACTCATATAATATGTGGACAATGTTTTTTGACGATGGGTGATAGTACGAATCGTAATGTTTGTTGTCCCAAACTTCCAGCAGGAACCAATAGAATATCATTTAGCTTGTATGTTTCAGTGTAAAAACAATCCAGCGTTTCTTTAATACATACTTTTTTCTCCTTATATTTGCAGGTAGTGATCTGGGGGAGATGTCAGGCAGGAAGAAACACACCAGACCAACATTTAGTGGACATCAGATTTTTGCCCTGGAGAAAACCTTCGAGCAGACCAAGTACCTGGCCGGGCCGGAGAGAGCCAGACTGGCCTATTCTCTGGGAATGACCGAGTCACAAGTCAAGGTAAAGATTACAAAACATTTAGCCGAAGCTTTTTTAATTAATTTTCTTTCACCATTTCTATGTTTCTTTAGGAAACAACGTTGATCTACCTAATTAGCTAAAGCTTTTGGAAATGTGCTTTTGTGTGGAGTGACTTGCAATTTAAACACTTCACTCAAATAATGTATATATTTTTCCTTTTTATTATATGAACTTTCTGGTGAAGTAACTCGAAATACAGTTGACCTATTTCATTAGCTTAAGCATTTATATTTAGTGTCTGTGTGACGTGCCGTAGAATTTAAACATTTAACTCCTGTTCTTCTATGTTTTTAATTGTTTACTTGTATTTCTCTATATATGACCTTTCTGGTTATTTCATGGGAGGTAACACTTGTTCTGAAAGGTGTAATAGCAAACAAGTTGAATTACCTTGTCAGCTAAAGCGTGTCGAATGATGCTTTTGTGTGAAGTGCTTTGCATTTAAACACTTTGAGTCCAATAATTTATGTTTTTCTTTTTATATTTGCTTATTTCTCCACATTTGAGTGTTACCTTGATTTGTGTGTGAAGTAGCTCTTGTTTTAATAAGGGGTGCAGTAGAAAATGAGTTGATGTATTTAATTAGGTAAAGCTTTTAAAATGTTGCTTTTGTGATATGTGCTTCACAATTTAAACATTTTACTCCAACACTTTACTGATTTTATTTGTTATACCTTCTCTTATTTCTCTATGTGTGACCTTTATGGTGATTTGATGGGAGCCAACTCTTGTTTTGAAAAGTGCAATAGAAATAAAGTTGACCTATTCCAATAGATATATCTTCTTGAAAGAGGTGCCTTTCTATTTAGACAGAATCATTTAATATTTGTATTTTTGCTTTAATTTCTCCACATTTGAGCGTCTCCTTCATTGTTGTTTGAAATAAGTCTGGTTTTGAAGAGTGCAACAGAAGTTCATTGGTAACGTTTTTTTAAAATGATGTGTTATTGACCTACTTGTGGAAAAAAACAACTTGAATGTCCTGATTGCATTGCATCATCATGAGTTCACAGTTATATCTCACCATCTCACCAACTGGGTACTGCATGATCATTATCTGTGCTTTCTATGAAATGTGTGTAAACCAGATGACTCCTGCTGTGTGTAGGTGTGGTTTCAGAACCGACGCACCAAGTGGCGGAAGAAGAGCGCCTCGGAGCCGAGCTCCACGCAGTCCAGCCTGGCGGGGACCGGCGGGGAGGCCTCGGAGAACGAGGTGGAGGACGAGGAGTACAACAAGCCTCTGGACCCGGACTCCGACGACGATAAGATCCGCCTGCTGCTGCGCAAACACCACAGAGCTTTCTCCGTGCTGCGCCTCGGCCCGCACCATGTCTGACCCACTTCCGGCGAATCACACACTGCACAGCACTCATGCATGCTGTTATGAGAGTTATTCGTTTTAAATTAAAAAAGCATGTTCAGAAGAGGTCATATGTGGTACAACAACAAAGTATCACTGGGGTCAATCAACAGGCTGCAGAAATGAATCTAAAAGACGTTTACTTTTATAAGTTACTGTATCTCTGGCCTGTTTAATGTTACACGGGTGTGTGGGGGAATTATGTTATCAATTTTTGTAAAAATATAAGAAAATGTTACTATAGAAACTGCATGATGCTATTGGTATTGGGAATAAAAAAAATGTAATAGTAGCCTGAAGATATTAATGTGTTCTCTTTTTAAAACAGTTGACACTGCAAACACTACAAAAGCAAATAGTGCCACTGCCGAATAAAATAAAAGTGGAGGTGAGAAATATCATTGGTCCTTCAATTTAAAATAAATAGTATGCAGGTTAAGTCATGTTAGTACAACTATTTGTAGGGAGTTTGTATTTAAATGTGCACTTACTAAGAAAAAAGGCACTAAATAAGACCTGTTAAAATGAACATGGCCGTATAATGAACCACATGCCTAACAACTCTGAATAACAGGTAATCATCTCTTATAATATGTCCAAGTATTATTTGTAATTTTGCTAAATTGTTAAATTGAATGTTGACTTGTAGTTGGTAAAAAAACACTGCAGGTTTATATCTTTGTTTTTTACTTTTTGTTAACTTGTTTTTGAAATACATGCACAATAAATGATTGTAAATCATTTACAGTATAAGGCTCATCATGCCAGTATTTGATTCTGTTGGTGACAGTAAGAATGAAACTTCAAGCAACGCTGACACTGAAAAGAAGTGCATAGGTCAAAGGTCAAATATTGTGTGATTTACCAGTGTGGTAGGGTTTAATTGAAGACAATGAACCCCAAAGCCCACGACAACATATAAAATCAATACCAACAGAACACCTCGTTTAAAATAAAGCTCATCGCGTTAAGCCTCCACATGTTTCAGATGTCAGTCCAAAGTATTCTGTCAAACACAATTCTGCATCAAAAATAAAAACAATTCTCCTGACATTATATTTCATTTAACCGGCACTTGTGTGTGACAATAAGAGCAACAAGAATCTTGAAAGTAGGCCTACATTAGCTTTAAATAAGTCAAACCTCTTTAGGTATTTTTATAGTTACATTTAATGTAGTTCTGCTAACGTCAGAATCATACAATCGCAAATTCTGTAAAATATTGCTAAAGTCTCCATTGCCATTATGATGTTACAAATATTTAAAAACGATTAAGTATTATACAATTGTTGTGAATTGTCAGGTGTATTCCTCAAACCTGAGGCCATCTGGTCAGTGAAATTACCCAAAGAAAAGGTTTGAATCTTGATTTGTTGACCCTTGGAAGACTTTCAATCAAAACTAAATCTCCTAAAAAGGCAACCCACTCCAGCTTTAGAGGGGCAAGCGTATTACCTCCTCTCTTTTAGATGCAATATTTCCTGCGTTAAAAAATAAGTGCAGCTCACATCATGGTGGATTAATAGAACTTTGGAAAATAAATGCATTACACAGAAAGACAGTGAAGTTGAGGCAGGCTTTGCGCAAGCGTTTTGCACTATATGGTCGATATTTCTTTAATCCAACCAACACAAAAATAAACATTTGTGAGAATTTTAATTCTTAACGTCCAATGAACTAACTTGATAATGTTTTAATATAATAAAATTGTATAATTGTAATTAATGTAGGTCAAGATCCACTTCTCTTTCCCTGGTAGCACAAACCATTCAGGTTTATCAGCTTCGACAGGAAAATAACACCAATGTGCTTTACCAGCACTTCCCGCAGAGGTGTGACTATTATGAATGATTAAACGATGACTGTATCCAAATCAAAATGTGTTGCAACAATGGCTGCATGTACAGTTTCTTAAAGCAAATAAAACACAATGCAGCCTTTATGAGGGTAATATTTTATTGAAAAAGTGAAATATGACAATGCTGTAGTGTTACCAGAGTTAATCTAAAGGTAATACTGGCCTTTTAATGAAGTGAACTGCTACAAGATTGTCACCAACACACTCTTGAATCTACACAAACATATGCATCACTGATTATTAACTTAATCTTGTTACGGCAAGGCTTCAGTCCCACTGTGCAAGCATGACTGACAGACCAACATTGATGTGATCAAGTATTGACGTATATATTGTTTCACCAAGCTGTGTAAGACCAAATAAGAATCACAAAACACACAATAAAATAAAATACATGTCAGCTGGGATTAGCTTCAGACAATGTGTAAGAAGATGGAGGGAAGTAACAATCACTAAACTTATTTTACATTATTTTAAATTCAATAAGTCATTATTAAATCCAGGTCAAACATTCTAGCATTTCACACAACAATATGATACAGCACTGGTGCTATACAGTTTAAGAATATATGATTCAACTAAACAAAACAAAAATCAATGCAAAAGCAAACAGTGCCTTCTGTGTTGTGTGTGGGTGCACGCGTGAATATATACTGTATACAGGATTTTGTGAAGTTCAAGTGAATCTGTGGTATTCATGCATCCACAACCCTTAGAGGGGCCCTATTATGCTCATGTCCAGGTTCACATGTGTATAATGTGACATGTTTGCATGCTTTATTGTTCAAAATGGTCTTTATTTTTCTCATACTGCCTGTACTGCAGCACCTCTATTCACCCTCTGTCTGAAACCAGAGCCCAGTCTGCTCTGATTGGTTAGCTGGCCGGCTCTGTTGCGATTGGTCAACTGTTAAGAGATGTGTGAATAGAAGTGTGTATAGAAGTTTGAGTGTTACATCGTGATGTCACTATGTTACAGAAGTAAACAAAGGAGTCCAATGGAAGCATTTCCGGCAAGGGAAGAGAAACTCCCTCTAGAGGGAACACAGGGATTTAGGCCTTTGCAGACCATCTACATGCACACAAACCTGTATAACGCGCTATGGGAAAGGGAAACCCCCAAAAATCATTAGAGGGCCCCTTTAACATGGTGCTGTTTTTCCGATGCCAGGAACCATGGGTTGATCACCCCTATCTTTAAAATGGAATACAACAGACCCTAATAACTACAGAGGTATCTGTGTCAAAAGTCACCATGCAAATGATTTCCACATGTGCCATGGGGGCGGAACGAATCTGCCAAGCGCTCAATATGTTATCCACAGGGGTTTTCTTTTTCAGCCAATGACCTATCAAGGACCCAGTAGGGGCCCTTCACTGACCTGCGAGGGTCTCATTGGAATGGAGCAAGCTATTATTGAAAAAACAAAGGTTGAAATGGAGATAATCAACTACACAAAACCCCCAATCTGAATGCCATTGACTGTACAACAGTACATATTTGCTGTCTTAAGTGTCCTCGTGGTGGTAGTGTACTCACAGTTACATGCTTCTTGTTGTAACACAATATCATGGAACACACTCATGTACTTTGAGTCATGTTGAGTTTCCGCCTGTAAGCCTGTTGTCTATATGCAAGGTAAGGTAAGGTACGTTTATTTATATAGGACATTTCAGACGCAGAGGCAATTCAAAGTGCTTTACATGATCATTAACACATGATAGTAGAACAGAGAGGAACACAATAAATAAACATAATGGAATAACAGTTTCATAAAAACAATGCATTAATGAGATATAAAATAGTTTAAAAACGACATTGTAAATACGGTAAGTGCTAAAACAAGTTAAAAGGCTTCTGGGTAAGCAGCTGTAAAAAGTAGTGTTTTTAGCCTCGACATAAAAGAACTCAGCGTTGGTGAAGACCTCAGGTTTTCTGGAAGTTTATTCCATTTGTGGGGAGCATAAAAACTAAGAGCAGCTTCGGCGTGTTTGGTTCTGAGCCGGGGAACAATGAGTAAGCCCGTCCCTGATGATCTCAGAGCTATGTGGGGCTCGTAACAGGGCAACATGTCAGACATATATTGGGTTCCCAAACCATTTAATGCTTTATAAGTTAACAATATAATTTTTTATTTTAAAATCGATTCTGTAAGCTACTGGTAGCCAGTGCAGAGACCTGAGTACTGGGGTGATGTGTTCTACTCTTTTTGTTTTGGTCAGGACTCTGGCAGCGGCGTTCTGGATTAGTTGTAGTTTTCTAACCGATTTTTTACAGAGACCTGTAAATACACTATTACAGTAATCAAGCCTGCTAAAAACAAAGGCGTGAACTAGTTTTTCAAGGTCTTGTTGAGACATGAATGTTCTAAGCCTGGCTATGTTTTTCATGCTGATTTAGTAATTTTGTTGATGTGGGATTTGAAATTGAGGTCGGGGTCCAGAACTACGCCTAGATTTCTCACCTTTTCCGATGTATTTAGCAGTAGGGCTTCTAGTTTAGCGCTTACTTCAGCCCGTTCCTCCCTTTTGGCACCAAAGATAATTGTCTCTGTTTTGTTTTTGTTTAATTGTAGGAAATTGTTGCTCATCCAGCTACTGATTTGTTCCATGCAGTTGGTGAGGGATTGTAATGGTCCGTAGTCGCCAGGCTTTATTGTAATGTATAACTGAGTGTCATCTGCATAATTGTGGTATGACATTTTGTTAACTTTTAGGATCTGGGCTAGTGGAAGCATGTATATGTTAAATAGAATTGGACCAAGAATCGACCCTTGGGGAACTCCACAAGTCATCGCAGTTTTTTGCGATTTGAAAGAACCAACAGACACAAAGAAGTCCCTGTCCAGCAGATACGATTTGATCCAATGTAGTGCTTTGCCAGATAAACAACCAAGGTTTTCTAGTCTTTCCAGTAATATTTTGTGGTCCACTGTATCAAAAGCGGCACTGAGGTCCAGCAGTACCAAAATAGTGATTTGTCCCTTGTCTGTGTTTAAATATATATCGTTTAAGACCCTCATAAGTGCGGTCTCAGTGCTGTGATGGGCTCTGAATCCAGACTGGAGAGCATCAAAGCAGTTATTTTGTGCCAAAAAAAAGTTGAGTTGATGGAAAACAGCTTTTTCGATAATTTGACCCAAGAAGGATAAGTTTGAAATCGGCCTATAATTCTGCATGATTGAGCTGCCTAGGTTGTTTTTTTTTTTAAAGAGGCTTGATTACTGTTGTTTTTAGTGCTTTTGGGAACTTACAAGTGTAAGAGTAACTCATAAGCCTCAGCTAGAGAAATGTAGTGCCATATTTTGCTTTGTGCATCACATTGATACAACTCCTAAATGTCTTTGTGTTATATTGTTTGAACACTGTCATTGTTAATGTATCGGTACTTAGATTTTAAAAACACTACTATGACCCATTTCCTAAGTATTTCAATACTAGCTAATACCTGCTGAAATATAACAGTTTTATCATCTGCTTAAGAGGCCTTAGAAATACGAAGGGTCTTCTACACTAACATCTGAGGTGATATGCGTTGTAATATAAAGTCTTTAAGGCTAATTGAACTGACTTGATGATCTTGTACATGGCCGGGTTGGTGAAGAAGGGCTCGTCCAGCTCGTTGTGGCCCCACTGACGGTAGCAGACCAGGTCCACGATGATGTCCTTCCTGAAAACACGCTGGTAGTCCACAGCCAGCTGAGTGGCCCGCAGCACCTCGTCTGGATCATCGCCGTTCACGTGGATCACAGCACAGTTCACCATCTTACCTGGGGCACAAAGGTGGGCATTAGCTTCTGATTATAAAAGAATACATGACCTGGTGGAGTCATATTTTAAAATGTATCTTGGGTTTTGACCAAACTTTGCAATTCAAATAGTAGCAAATATTACAAATGTTTCATATTTTTTACTGACCGACGTCGCTACAGTACAGAGACGACCTCCCCCTCTCGGATGGAGTGGTGAAACCCACTTGGTTGTTGACGATGAGGTGGATGCTCCCACCCACTCTGTAGTGAGGGAGGTTGGAAAGGGTCAGCGTTTCTGGAACGATCCCCTGTCCAGTGAAAGCGCCGTCACCGTGGACCTAGGAGAGGAGGAGAGGGATGGTCTGTACGTTTTAGTAACACTGCAGGAGGGATTATTGTTTCAATATTGTACAAGGCCTAGAGGGGTTTGTAACGGTGGACCAGAAGAGCAAAGCAAAGAAGACTTTCAGATGTTTATTATTTAAGTGTCTGTGGACACTTTTTTTCTCAACGGAACTAATAATCATATTTGACATAAAATAAGTTTTGTTTTTTTATATGGGCGTCTGACAGTTATTTAAAGACAGACATGAAAACATTTGAAAACATCCTTGAACATTGAGAAATACCCTGTGCAGCCTAACATCTACCAAGCTGAGAAATCCATATCATTTGTTATTTTATTTAAAAAAAAAAAATGTAATCTGGATTCTGGACGTTGATCTGCAACAAAGTCCATGTAGTGAGCATCTACCATGGGACACATAGTCTTTGTTTTAGTAAGTCTATTGCTTAATAAGAAAGAACAAGGAAGAGCTCCCGTTGTGCAACCAATTAAAAATGAAAGCGTTAAATAAAAGAATGCATACATTTATGCTCCAATGGCCATGGTATCAACAATTGTGTTTTTTATGGGTTTCAATGGGGACATTTGTACTGAAGGGTCTGAGTGTCTGTATTTTGGTAACATAGTTTATTAGAGACTCACCATTAAAGCTGAGGTTGAACTTCCAACAAACAAAAGAAAACAAAATGTACGCCATATGCCAAAATGATTGCAAAATGTTCAATTAAAAAGACAAAAAATGTCCCTCGTAACATACAAGAGTTTAGTGTGTGTTAGTTGTACCTGCAGACAGACGACCTGGTCCCCTGGCTCTGCGTTGTCTTCAGGGGAATAGTCTCCTTCCTGCCTGAGCTGCTGCCTGGCTCGAGTTTTGCCCTGAGCCACGGGGTTGATGGCCTCAAGGTGGGAGGGGTTGGGCAGCATGGTCACATGGACAGGATGCTCAGCTCCGAAATCCAACTCTAATGACGCGGTGAGGTGGGAGAGGACGTCCCCGGTGGCAGAGGACGTCTCTGGGAACTCACTGAGGCCGCGCATCTTACGGAACATGAGCTGCAGAGAAAACGTAGTTTGAAGTTACCCTTGTTTACCCTTTGGCAGCAGGCTGTGACTTCCTGTTTACTCGTGCTGCTGATTACAGTGGTGCAAAGTAAACAATCTTATCTTGTCAAGTCACAGATAATTGTACATGTCTCATTAGATGTGGCTGTGTCGTGCAGATGAACCTCTGGAGGGAACTTCAGCAGGCCGGACAGCAGGTTGAGTCGGCCTCTGTGCGGCATGCCAATCACGATGTCAGTGATTCCGCTGAAGGATGAGTAACGGAATAGCTCGTGGAAGAATCCCATCATGCTCTCTGCTCCTTCTCCTCCATAACGCTTCACAGTAGCAAACTTGGTGGCCAGGAAGTGGTCGAATTCCTACAGTTGGTGAGAGAAAAGTAAAGAAACAGATGGACAATAAATAAATGACTTTGCTATACGAAAGTAGAGATGCTTAATCAGCCGACGGCCAGAATCAGACAATTTCGAGCTTGTTATGCCATCAGTCTAAGAAATTGTACATTTTCTCAATTACCACGTCCGCAGAGGACAAGGGTTCATGTAGAGCAGGGGTTTCAAACCTTTTAATAGTAAACTGTGTCTTGTTGAAATGACACTAAAGTCTAACGGCCCGTCTACACTACAGGCATCAAAAAATGCTTTCAACGCTTCGCCCATTCACTTGAATGGGGTGACGTAGAAGATTTTTAATCTTCGCCGAACTGCATTGTGGGGAGCATGGCATGACTTTGCAAGCATCACGAGCATCTATCGGCATCAAAAGTTGAACAATGTTCAACTTTTGAGGCTCGATGCTTGGTATCAGCCAATCAAATCCCGTTTATGCAAATCCCGCCAGTGCAAGCGCAGCCAATCAAACCGCGTGCAAGCTGGGAGAGCCAGACCGCTGTTCATTTCCTCATATTCCAAACGAGATATTACGGCAGCAAATATCCCGGTTCTTTACGACCGGAACTATTTACCGGGATACAAACCGGAGGAGCCAGGCATGGAGGGAAGTGGCAGAGACAGTGGGTGAAACTGATAGGTTTTTCGCCTGTTTGGAGAGTTTATATCCAGTTTACTTCGTTTTAACATTGCTATTGCTTTGTATGTCGGGGGCGGGAGATTCATGTGATTGGTTTCTCGCAAAAAATCGCCAAGCTTCAGACACGCCCAGTTTCAAGATTTTTTCATGCCTGTAGTGTAGACGGGCCGTAAGTCTAAGAAGCACAAATAAAAACTGGACTTCTGTCACAGCATCACACACACACTGTAACTTTGGGTCGTTCCTGCTAGATGCCCCAAACAAGTGAGACCCTCTTAGCAACTTTTTTTTTTTTTTTTTTAAATGGGACCAATTTAGCGACTTATTAAGGCCCTCAGAGAAAAAGTGTGAAATATATTCAGAAATCGGCTGTTCTGCCAACAGCCTGGGGTCGCTAACTTCCTAGCTCTCAACTACAAAGATATTTGAATATGCTATCATTTGCAGTTATTATTTGAAATAAATATCTTATTTTAAATTGATCACACTTCTACTTCCGTCAGAATATACCAAGAAAAACGTAAATCTACACGAAACATGATTTGATGTAAAGTTTTTTTTAGCCTACCTGAGATTCCAGCATGACCTTGGCCAGCTGCTTCCTCTCCGCGGTAGAGAAACTCTTCTTCTTGAGTTCCTCAAAGCGGTCGGCGAACCACTCCCTCTCCTCCAGGCTGCTCAGCTGGCTGGTCTCCACTGACAGGTGGCCGCAGTACGCTCCTTCCAGGTAGGCCTGCACCTCTTCCACTGAAGCCTCTGCTTTGCCAAAATGTCGTAGACCTTCAGAAATACAATAAATGATTAATGAGAACATCAACAAGTGACTTATGAGCAGAGCAGGGCATTGTTTTGGTGTTTTTCATGCTTCACACCTCAAAATTAACACATTCAAAGCACCACTGTCTTTGATTCCAACTTCATCTCACTCATGATTATGTTATACTCCCTGGTAAATGGTGAATGCAGACCTTTGATTTGAGTAAAAGTAGCGATATCCCAGAAATTCATGTAAAAGCATTAATTATGCAGAATGGGACATTTCAAAATGCTGATATTTTATTATTGTATTAATTATGCAACAATGCGCTAATCATTTTAATGTTGCCGGTGCTAAAAGGTGGAGCTTATTTGAAATTGTCTTTAACTAGAGTATTAATCTCAGATATGAATTCGAAAAAATACCGTAGAATTTATAAATGATTGTACTTTGCATTAATAATCTGAATATGTAAAGTAACTAGTAACTCAAAAGTACAGTATTTCCCTCTTGAATGTTGTCCTGTAAAAGTATAAAGAAACTGGAATGATTTGCATACATTTCCTCTAAATTATACAATACTCGAGTTGAAAGCTTTTAAAAGATGAGACAAACTTCTGGATGCCTTCTGCAGGACTCCCTGCACGCTGTCCTGTACCTGAGGTGTGGAGTGTTCCTGTGACGGTGTCGGTCAGCATGGTTATCTCCGGGACGCTGTCAGCAACAGGTTTATCGGGCTGTAACGGGTTGATTTTAGCAGCCTTGTGACCATGTGCTCTGTATGCCTCCACCAGACGGGACAGACCATGATCTGAAAGAAAACAGGCCGATAAGTTAGTGAGGTGAAATAGCGACCTTGGCTAACAACAGCAACATCGTCTGATAAACAATGAGACAACTTTAGAGGGAAGGAGGTGGAAGAAGTATTCAGGTGACTTGGTCATTAAAAGGAGCACCACTACAGTTTAGAAATACTGAAATGCTACAAGTAAAAGTTCTGCATGCAAACTTGTACTCAAGTAAGCAAAAAAGTATTAGCATCAAAATGCAGCATATATTTTTAATTATTGTATTATACTTATTGGTGAATTAATGTCTTCATCACTTCAATGTTGCACTTGGTACATTTGGGGTATATTTGAATTGCTTTATTACTACTGGGTGGCTTAACCTTCAATAATATATGATAATGTATGTTGATTAATATTTAGTATCAATAAAATACATCTACAAAGTAACTAAATCTGCTAAATTAATGTAGTACAACATGTATCAACAAATTATAGTGGAGTAAAAGTATAAAGTAGGTTGACATTTAAATACTCAAGTAAAGTAAAAGTACCTAAATGTTGTACTTAAGTACAATACTTGAGTAAATGTTACTTTCCACCACAGGTATTTAAACACGTACAAACAAACTGGAATACTTGATTAAAATAACGTTACAAACAGGAAGCTAAACTTTGTCATCATTAGAGATTAGTTCACAGCTATAGGGTGTCTTAAAGTAGTTTATACTGTAATAAAAACCTTATTCAACCCCATAAATTAACCCTTTACTGACCTTGGTTCAGCGCTGCGATGCGGTCCTTCAGTAACTCATGTCGGCTCTCGGTCTGTTTGGGTCGGTACCCGAACACCCCTCTCTCGGTGTGATAGCAGCACCGGACCAGCTGCCGAGCCACAGCCGGAGGGAGTCTGCTCAAAGACTTCTTCAGGAAAAGTACCGCCGACATGTTGTAAAGTGCTAAAGTTTTAATCTTATGTCTGCACACAGAAGCTGCTACAGGACGGCAGCCATACTGCCGAGAGGACGAGGAGGCTGAAGTTAGACTCACATTCGTCACAGCTAAGGGGAAAGTTAAGGGGAATCCGAATCAGGTATTTACTAAGTAGATTTACACATACAAGGAGTTTGTTTTAGGGTATTATCAGAATTAGAAACAGGTTTATTAGCAGGTAGGTTGACACGTACGAGGAATTTGAATTGGTGTCGTGGTGCATACATTAAAGTAAAACAATAATTAAAAACACAGGTAGAGAACTAGAAAAATATAAAAAATTATAAAAAATATTGTAGAATATAACTATTTACTATACTATTACCATACATAGTCACAGACACATTAAGTTATAAAATAAGATAACATTAGAACATTATTTTAAATATTCCATTAATAAGATTAAGAATAAAAAATAAAATAAAAATGTTTTACAAAAAAGAAATTGTGAGATAATGACAAATTACTGTAAAAACATTTAAAGTATATCAGAATGTTATAGTGGAAGAGATGTGCAGTTTTAAGAGTGGTAGTGCTAAAAATACTCATAGGAACACGCTGGTGCAAAGGGAAGGAGTCGGACATAAACCTCAGAGACCGATTGTCCACTTTATTCATTATATATATTATAATGTTGCAAAATCATGTTAGTCCTTCTAGATATTATTTTCTGAAACTCTTTCAAATTTGTGAAAACTTTTATCATTTTTGAAGGGAGATTTTCACATCTAGAAAAGGGGGATTCCATTATTATTTATATCCAGACCGGAGTGGACAGGGTTCAGATTTGAACAGTTCAAGGACTGTTCAAATCTGTACTCAGTTATTCCAGAGAAGAAAGACTGCAAAGGCAAAAATAAGTATTTTATGGAACAAATACTGTATGAATTACCTGGTGTCATATAAAAGGGGCCAGGCATATTAAACATCAAACAAGAGAAAAACATTACATTTGAAAGCTGATTTTTCCACATCGAAATCACTTTTGACAAGGTGCAGGTCAAACACCCACTAGGCTAAACTTAGACTTGTAAAATATAAATTTACCTTAAGTTTCCCCTCAACTGTCGAACCGGAAGCTCACTTCAGCGTCAGAGAGGGAGAGGAGGAGGCGCCGCATCGGAAGCTGATTGGCTGAGTGTCACCTACTCGTCTCACAACACCGTCACGAGGCAAACCTTCACCTTTAGTTTTTAACTACTTTATTTGTCCCGGATTTCTTGAAAACATCGAGTTAGTAGTTTTAGTTCAAGGCTCTATACTTTAAAACAAATTCTTCTTGTGTTTGAGCTAGTTTTAAACAATTCCGAAGTACCTGAAGTATCCCCCGTGACGTAGCGAAACAAGTGTAAAGGAAGAGATCGATGCTGTGTTCAACTGCTGCTTGTAAACTCCATTCTCCACATTTCAAAGTTGTATAGCAAGTCTCCACGGGATTTTCTTCTTCTCCACAAGGCATGTGGAATTTAAAAAGTACATGTAGCAGCTTTTCATACGTTAAAGATAATCATTATGTATTTCTCTTATCCTGCTATATGTTGCCTGATACAGGATGATATTTATTTTCCATTTCTTGAGACCAGCAACAACTTAGTTTTGTCTGCATTTAGGGACAGTCTGACACAGAAAGATCCACACTTTAGAATAGGCGAAGGAAACTTTTAAAACATGGTCAACTTAACTTCATTGTAATACAGGGAATTACCCAAACTTTAAATGCATTGTGCAGCTTTTCTGTAATGTTTGCACATAAATAGTATAATTACAATTCTACTACAGCTATCCTTCTCTCGACTTAAAGATAGAGAAACAGAAACAGAGAAAAACAGTCTGAAGTAGCTGAAGCAGGTTAATTTACAAAATGTAGTCTTTTCACTTTATAACAAGCAGTTGCATCAGAAAGCTGCATTTCCTGATTTATTGAAGTGATTAATTTCAAATTTTGAAAATATTCAAGATTTTTTTTTTAGTGTTTAGCTTTTGGAGCTTTTCTATGAATTTAGGCTGCAACTAATCATTTGGTTAATCATTTCACTATACTTTGTTAAGCCTAGATTACAAAACACAACATGGAGAAAACACAATGTGTTCAAATGTATTGTTTTGTGCAACCAACTGTTTAAAATCTATCTACATTGATATATTACATTACATTGCATTTAGCTGACACTTTTATCCAAAGCGACTTACAATAAGTGCATTCAAACAAGAAGATACAAACTTGAAGAAAACAGAATCATATCAGGTTTCATAGAGCCAAAACATTTCAAGTGCTACTCAACAGGCTTTAGATAAGCCAGTCCTTTATTAGTATATAAGTTCTGCGTTAGTCATTTTATCGCTCGAAGTGGAGTCGAAAGAGATGAGTTTTCAGTCTGCGCCGGAAGATGTGTAGGCTTTCTGCTCTCCTGATGTCAATGGGGAGCTCATTCCATACATAAATAAAAAGCAAATCCTTGTATTTGAAAATTAAGAACCAACAAATGTAGGGTCTTTTTTTAAATGTATTCTTCGGTCTATGAAATGTAAAGATTTCTCTTACCAATTTTGCAAATGCAGTTTAAAACATTCAACTTGCTGATCACCCGCTTACATCTGGTAGTGTAAAAACATTAACCTTCTGTTCCCTAACTAATTGATCAATCCATTCACTACCACTGAAAAGTCTAAACTCAAGGTCTTCACACATTTTAATTCAACTTTATATTTGTTTGTGCGCACTAAATTGTTTCTAGAAACACCTTCGGGTGCAGCTTCAAGGATAAGACACCCAAATAACAAAAACTCCCATTTTTCTCACATCAATTAATAGATTCAGGACTTCCTAATCCATTTGACTGGTCTTGTTTTAAGACCAGCTAAGGCACACCTGTGTTATAATCACGTATAATAAAATGTTATACATAATAGATTTTTTTTTATTTCAACCATCATTTTTGAAATAAATAACTTTTTAAATTATAGAAAAAGTATTGGAGCAAAACTAATTGTGTAGCATTTATATTTTGTTCAGTGTGGCTGTAGATCCATCTTCCCCCATCAGACCTCTAAAGGTTAACATTAAGATAAACCAGCTGTCTGTTACTGCTCAAAGTAAGCAAAGAGAAGCACAACGAAGAGAAACAAGTTAGCAAGACATGACACACTGGGGGAGGGAGGGGGGGGTGGATTGTAAAATGTCTTTACAACACTGGACAAGCACAACACACAAAGACTCACAGTCCATATTAGGGGAAATGGTTTAATTTGGAGACAGAGGCAAAGAAACACACCACACATGAACAAACATTGACCAAAAAAGAACTGAGTCTTTCGGCTACACACTCCACTATGGGAAAAAACAGAAACCTCTACACAGGTAAAAAGCAAGGCTCAAACTAAACGGATACTTAACTCTTCAACTAAGACAATTAACCACACAAGTCGTCGATATCCTGATGACCATTAAACTATGTGGACAGCACAAATACTAACATGAAACTTACCACGACTAAGAGGATCCCAACCCCCCCCCCCCGAAAACTGAAATTAACGAAGTG